CAACACGCAGCCTCAGCAGGAATATCGTACGGAAACGTATATATAGGGGCAGAAATAACTTGCTCTTAAGAGGTCGGAGTCCGCCTATTTTCAAGCGATGCTAAATTTGAACGAATCCGATTAGGCTCGGTCACTACTTTTGTTGCCTCTTTCTTTTGTCCTGCTTTTCTCCTCCGTCGTTCTCCTGGACCGTCATTCCTCGAAATACTATTTTTATCGTATTTATCGACGCTATCCACGAAATTTCTTCTACTTGAAATCGGGAGTAAGAGCGAAAAGGTAAAAACTTTCGGCATTTCCTCTCGGCAAGAATACCTTCGACTTCAATATTTTTTCTCAAAATAAAGGTCCGCGAGGTCTACGCGCCACTCTCTTTTAGACTTCCTGTTTCTAAAAGCGTCTCGTAGCGTCGGTCACAGGAAGCCGTCGAAGCCAGAGAAATCGAGCTTTGTGCTCGCTTCGAATGGATCGACGAGGTGACTTTCGAACGGTCAATTTTCGAATCGACTTTTTTACAAAGTCCTCGATCTTACGAATCCGAAAAGTCAAAACTATGGACGCGAAAAGGATCGCTAAAGTATATACCGATTAAATTTCATTTACCGGCCGTTTCAACATTGAATTAATTACAACATTTTGGGAGAATAGAATGCTCACGACAAAGCGGACAAGTGTAGCGCGACGTTTTTCACGGTGAAAATACGATTCTCTCTCGAGATAATCGATCGTTGTTGAACTCGATTTTTATGTTGAAAATAAAATCTAAATGACCAAAGGGGAAATTCGCTTTGAGCCTTCTTCCGCTCCGGTAACAACGTTACAACGTTTCGCTGATCGATCGGTACCTCTAATTACTAGGGCGTATCGTACGCGCCGATTAAATGCTGCCACGCATTGGCATCATCGGGTGTTAAGCAAAGGGAGATCGATACGAAGATCGGGAACCAAAGGATTCCCTTTAACTCGAGTCGATCGACCGATTATATTTCATTCCGAACTTCTCGTCCCATTCACCTTCATCCTTCTCCGTGCCTCTTCTCGTTACTTTGCCCTACCTTCTTCCTCTTTGCTACGTTTTCTTTTGTTTTTTTTTTTTTTTTTCTTTTTTTTCTACAGTAATTTCTACGTTGTTTCGTCTTATTATTCTTCCTTTCCTTTTTCTTTGTTTCTTTTTTCTTTTCAGTTGTTACGGAACGAGATCAATCGATCCGGTAGTTTTAAACTAGAGGAAGGGCTCGACCCTCCTCCTTTTCCCATGGCGCTTCGTCGAGCGGGATAAGAGTAGTGCGTGTGCTCTTTACGCGTACATCCTTTACGCGGGAGGTACGGTTTGGTACGGTTGAGCAACAATAATACCCGTCTTCCTCCGGAAAAGTGGCGAGCAATGGGCAAGGTCGATGACATTCGGTCGGCTCGCGCGCGTCACACTGGAAAAGCGCGTGAGCTTGTTGTTCGCTTTAACCTGTCAGCGATGCATTCTTCGTGAGAAAGTATCCGATCTTTCGCAGGGCAGGACGTGGGAGCAAGCACTGTTCTTTAGCGTCCCGTGTGAATGTTACAAGAGTTCGCCTTACGAGGCGAAAAGGAAATTTTGGGCTCTACGTGGGAAAATTACGTCTACGTACGGGTCGTACGTGTTCGATCGATGAACACCCTCCCGCCCCCAACGATGAACCCCGAGGACGACGTTATCGGACAATGTTATCGGGCGTAACGCCGCCACGAGTGAAACAACCAATGAATTTGCAAGCCTCGCACTCCGTCTTGGGATTCTCCAATTATGTACGTCGCGCTATCCTATCCTTTTGCTTCTTTGTTTTTTAAAACGTGACTCGGTGGGAGTTCATTAACACTTAAATCGCCGGCATGCTTGAAAGACCGAACGATGGACTCGATGACGGAATAGAAGGGTAAAGGGGAAAAGAGGAACGGCCGTCCGAAACGATAATTCCATTACTACCGGATCGTCCTGATTGTTATTCTTGGCAAGTAAGCGAGCGACGTCGACTCGAGATGACGACGTCCTTCTCTCTCTCTCTCTCTCTCTCTCTCTCTCTCTCTCTCTCTCTCTTTCTCGTCCGAGCTTTACTTTTAATGAGAGCCACGTCCACGGCTTTCCAGTGGAAAATGCCGTCTACCTCTCTCTCTCTCTCTCTCTCTTTGACAATAAGAAGAATCCATCTCTTCCGTACGCTTCAGGGAGAGATTTAATTAATGGACTTCCTGAAGGATATCGTGCATTTTCATAGCAGCGCGATCAAGTCGGCTGGACGATCGCTCGCGCGACAATGAAATTATACTTGTCATTTTGTTGGCAAATTCAGCGGCCTCGTCTTCTGCCTTCTTATACTGCCCCTCTTACGAATCGACGAATGATTCTTGCGCGAGGAATCCTTTAAATATAGATACATTCGTAGTAAATCACTACGGCCGTGCATTTCTCGGAAAGCTGCGCGTGCACTAGTAAATGGCGCTCGATAAGTACACGCATTACCACGTCCATTAAATGCGCCCGCAATTACTCCGGTCTACTTACTACAATAAAATGATATTAACGAAACTCGATGTATCGGTGACTTGAAACAAACGACTAGGGGACTATGAAATACGGCACTTAACTAACCATTAATTAACGTTAAGCGATTAAATAGAGTAAGTGTTTGATCGATGACGTCCATTAGTTATGCGTTATTGCTTCCATTAAAACGACACTGGCATAGCCTGTGCTTTCTCTGTCTCTCTCTCTCTCTCTCTCTCTCTCTCTTTCACACACGCTCACACGCACGCACATAGAGACAGACACTCTCGCAGCTAAAATAATCTTCGAGGTCGAAGTACGCAGCTACGTACGCAATGTTCGTACTTTAATGAGCAAGCGTTAATGCGGCCTCTTTCCCCCAGCCCTCGTCCTCTCGGCCTCTTTCCCCCAGCCCTCGTCCTCTCGGCCTCCTTCCGAGTATGTGCATACAAAAGTGCCACGTGCTTTTACAAAACGTGACTCTAAAGTTCATTAGCACCGCCACGCGCCAATAGCCCGAGGGTCGTTGCATGCCGGCGCCGCGCCGCGGACGCTCGTCGTTTGCCTTCTCGTTCGAGGATACGTCGCACGCAAGATCATCCTTGGTTGAAAGAAAAGAGGAGTTTAATGGACTTGATCGCTCGCGTAAGAAAGAATTCCTTACGCGACCGCTTTTATCGCGTGGAATGTCGAGTCCTTATCTTCTCTTTCCACTTTTATTCTTTTCTTTTTCGCGCGAAGCTACCTGGTTAAATAACGATGACGAGATAGTTTCCACGTGGATCAAATATAAAGAAGACTCGTTTAAACCTTATTTCAATCTATTATTCGCTTCGCGATAAATGTTCAACGTTTAACAGAAAATGTTTCCTCTGCTTTCAGATCATAGAATGCAGCGCGACAGATAGTTCCCCGATAAAGGTGAGAGAGTAGTTCGTTCGACTTGTCGATATAGTCGTTGCTAAAAGTTTACTTGCATCTACTTACCATCGTAATCGTATCTATTTACCATTGTAATGGATATTTATTAAGAGCGTAATATTAACGTTTAATGTCACATTGCGAATCGTAGGCGTTCGTAGTCGTTAATAAGTTTTTTCTGCTTTTTTCTCTCTCTCATTTTTTTTTCTTTTTTTTTTTTTTTCTTTTCTTTTGTCCTTTTTCACGGGTTAACAAAAATAAACGGATATTATAGCAAGGCAAACGTTAGCTCCTTCCACCTTCGTCTTATCATCAGTACCGAACGTAGTATTAGGAGGAGCGCTGGTTTACTAGCACTAGTAGACACTACCACCCTTGGGAAGTCTTCAATTACTGCAGGGACGTCGCGTTTCGCCAAGCCGGCCTTGACGTAAAGTATGACGGAGTAATTTTAATTACGCGATGCAGCAGCTCTGAATTGTTGTTACCCGGAGAAGAGGATACGGTGGTGAAGAGGGAAGGATACGGTGATGAAGGTAGGCGTCGGCGCTGGTGCTGCCGAGGTGGCCCGCCTTCAGGCACATTGAACTAATTCACGTCGTTCGGGCGACACTTATTAAACCCAGGAATGCCGTCAGCCTTAATCCTCGCAGAATGCAGGATGAGCCCAGCGCGAAGGATGAAGCGCCAGGGGAAGGAGGAAAGATATTCTCCGTGAACGCGCACGGCAAATCGGAAAAGCCGCCAAGCGTCGACTTAACCTCGTCGCCTCGTTTCGTTAATCGTCTCGCGTATTATCACTTTTGACCTTTTATATCATTTATAGGTATGCACGCGATTGTACGAAAACTAGCTTCGCGATAAAGATTCCTATCGTTCAACGATTTCGTCGAACAAACAGCCTATTGAGAATACTTTTCGCGAGTACCTTTTGCTCTAGATTCCTTGCCGAGATCTATCGGGGGTATCGAGAGAAAACATTTTGAGAAGGCAAAAATTGAGAGCAATTCCCGTTCCAAAAATCGTTCGAATGGAAAGAGTGGCGCGGGAGGAGGGGTGGGAGAGGAGGCGGGAGCGAGAGGGAGGTAGATAGGTAAAGGATAGAAGGATAAGGATAGAAGGATAAGGGAAGGAGAGAACTTCCGTTATAATTACTCTCGTTCGAGCGGAGCGAACGAGTTTCGTAACGAAGATGAAACAAAACGCTGTGCCGCGGCGCACGTTGCACGCGGTAATCATTGCATAATAATCAAGAGCGAGGGAGGGATGGGAGGGGGGGGGGGGGCGGGGGAAGGGCGAAGGGGAGAGGAAGGGAATTTGGCCCCGCCGTCGTTAACGTTCGAGCTATGACGAGAGCTATCGTAAAGTTTTAATGAGCGTTAACCCTAAATTAATATAACGATCTCGCGAATCGTGACCGCGTCCGAAAGCACGTGACGTTATGACGACGAAGACGACGACTACGAGGATCATAATTGTGACATCGGCTTACACCCAATCCGGCTTCGCACGATTCGTCGTTCGTTACCTCTTGGCTGAAAAGAAAGAAAAAAGAAAATAAAAAACATCATAAAATAACAAAACGAGGATTCTTATATAGCTGCGTATGGGTATTAGCGGTTGTGTGGTCATATCAGTTAGACACTTAAATTATTCGTTTCTCTTCCCATCGTCGTTCAGAACGAAGTGTACCTACCTGTTAGCGATAGACCCTTTGACATCTCTCTCTCTCTCTCTCTCCTCCTCCTCCTTTCTTCATTAAAAAAAAAAAAAAAAAAAAAAAAAAAAAAAAAAAAAAAAAGAGCAATCGAGGAAACGGCCGATAGAGACCGCGAGGTTGTCAATTAATCTCGGGCCCGTTGATTAAAATTATCAGATCGCTAATTAACGAATAATTAAAAAGATACTCTTTTAGGATCGCATCTAACGGAACGGACCCAACGAATCGGTTGCTAATTGCGACCAATTAGTAACGGATATTAAATTCGTCGAGTTATCACCGCACTGCGCCCGAGTTCTTTTTTACGACCGTCTGTCGATCGGACGGGGAAAGGGCATTCGAGTAGGCAATCGATCTTTCGCGATCAACACTTGTAAGAATGATCTCGTTGATATTATTTTCATGGTTATCAGATAATTATATTTTTGTGGTAATTAGATAATTAACGTACGATCGTTTTCTACTGTAATAAATCTTATATGGCACAGTATTTATGAATTCGCGTTAAAGTTTTTGGGAGCTTCTCGCTCGTATTCCAAGTAGAGCTACACAAGTAGATAGATCGTTTAAAGGAAAATGAAAGAGAAAGGATTAATGCGTAGGACATACTGTAGAACGTAACCATCTGGTACAGTATACCATAGGCGAAGGAATATCTAACGGACGTTTGTTTATCGTTGGTGAAACTTGAACGATAAAGCGAATAAGCGACAAGTTTGAATCGTTCATGAGACACGAGCGTCGAACGTAGGACACAGGACGTTGTCGCACTTCCCATACGAGTACTGTTTTTATTCTACCTTTTTCCACTCGTCGAGGACAACACTCATTGGCGACTCGTGCATGACTCAGAAAGTACTCCTTAGAAAGCGATCGAACGAGGGGTTTCTACCTTTATGACTTCGACATGGAAAAGAGACTGTCGTATCGATTCATTATTGATTTTCCTACGATTCTGAGGACAACTCGTTCGTTACTTTTGCTCATTGCCGATACAGACGCAATTTCTCTTGCGTGTAATAACTTATTTATATAACTCTCTGATAAGCGAGTTAATTACGAAGCGAACGGTACCGTCGGTCGCGTCGATCGTGTAACTGGTTCCGTTGGTTATATCATGAAAAAAGGAAGCAGAAAGAAAAAGAGAAATGGAAGAAAATGGTCGGACCTTGCTTTGGTTCTTATTTCCGTAACTCGCGTGCACTGCGAGTCGTGTAAATTGGACTGGCAGTGGCTTCGTCGTCGTCGTCGTCGTCGTCGTCGTCGTCGTCGTGGACGAGCTGTGTTGTCGGTTCTATTAATATGCCAGAAGCGTACGCTATAAATTCTATTTCAACTCACCCTCCTCGACGGAGCACCGGCAGCAGCCTTGAGAGGCAAGGACAATCGATCTCTACTACCCTCTTGCTTCCTTTCCTCCTTCTCTCTCTCTCTCTCTCTCTCTCTCTCTCTCTCTCTCCCGTACTCTATCGCGCGCGCGTACCGTCTAGCGGGAGGTATAGCGCCGGCGGCTGCGGAAATGCATATGCTTTAGCGCAACATCGAGTTACACGATACACACGTTCGATTCGGCTTCTAAAATATTTACGTTTCATTCCAGGGAAATCCAATCGATGGTTCAGTCGCCATTGGCGAGCGACGCCACAGTCGACAAAGTTTTAATCGGATCGCGCGATAGTACGTACCTACTATACGCGGATAATAATTCACCCACGATATTTCGAGCGACGCGAATTGTCGCATCATCGTGCTCTCGCCGCTTTATTTCGGCACGAATTCAAAACGCTGGACGAGGAATTTCCTACGTTTTACGATATGCCCTTTATATTTCGCCATTTAATCCTATTAAATAGATACGCTTCTTTTATGTACGCTTAAAAAGTCTAGATTAACGTGCATGTCGATGAAGATTCGTTTGAACGAAATAAATCGTGTCGACGTGAAGCGCGGCCGATGCGCGGTCAAAGTGCGACCGACACGCGTGCCGGCACTTTACGTGCAAAACTCTTGGTAAAACATGCCTATTTATAGTGAATGTAGGCGGCGAATGATGGCGTAAGCGACTACGAGAGAGGCTTTAATTACCGCGCCGGTCCTGTTAATGCAAACCAAGTTACGTAAAACGTTTTCGCGACGATACGCTTGTTTATTGAACATCGACCTCATGTCATAGAAATTTTCTCTTACGCTACAACTTTTATTGGAAAGGCAGACGTTACGGCTACTCGTAGCCAGTAGTTCATTTTTGAATGAACCGCTTGACGTCGTTCACGCGGCCGTACATTGGACATCGATCGATCGCTGCTAATCAGGAAGCAATCACATTAAAGCTCGAACGTTATCGGAACGAGGTCGAAGAGCCGACTCTATTCACGGTACTTTGCTTTGTGGCGAAAGAGACCGGAGAATAATCCAATGTAGAGAGAGAGAGAGAGAGAGAGAGAGAAAGCCAGGAATCGGGATGAGAGTGCGCAGATTGCGCGAATGCGGTTGGATAGCCGCATTTCGAGTAATTAAAGTAACGTTAGCGGTGCTTTTGTAGTGCGTTCGCAACGTACAATCTCCCATCTTCCCTATTCTTTTTATCTTATTTTTATCGATGAACAAAGGGCACCAAGCAAATTACGTGGGCGTTCTACCTAAAATAGATCTCAAACGAGAAAGGACGACTTACTCGTGCATGGACGAATTCCTCTTTCTCTTTTCCCTTGTCCCCCCCCCCCCCCCTCCTCTCTTTCTCTCTCGACGCGCGCAAGCAAAATACCGGAGGAGAAGCTTGTTACGTAACGAGCTACAACATTTTATGTAATTTCTCGATTCTGCGCCTCTGTAGTACGCGCGTCTCAGTGGATAGCTCGACATTGCTGTTTTTTTGGGCACGCCATCGATAAATAAAAATCTCAACAATATATCTGTAGATTGATAAGAGAAAATTCGAAAGAAGCCTGCTCAATTTCTTCTGGTTATTGTCTGTCCGATTTGACTCGGAAAAGAGACTGTTCGGTTCGAGCATCTATACAATTTCTTCCGCGAAACGATTTGCGCTCACGTGGCCGGTCAATTCGCGAACAAAGATCTGCGCTCATAGTCACGAGGCAAACCATTGTCACTTGGAAGAGTTAAGAATGGAGGAGTAGGAAGGAGAAGACGGATGTCGCGATTAGGGAGCTGCTCGCGAAGATTCTCGACTGGTCGCTCGCTTCGCGACGCTTCTCGCTCGTTATAACGTCTCGTCTCGAGATAGTCGGAGTGCGCGCGCGAGAGAGAGAGAGAGAGAGAGAATGCGCGCTGACGTCGATGATAAAAAGAACGAGGAGGGATAAAAGCGTATAGGCTAGCACGTCCTGGCACTAACACCGTCTGCTTCTGGCTCTTCTTATCTGTTTCCTGGCGCCACGACACCCCCTGAAAACAGAATCAATTTTGATCGTCGATTAGGAGGATCGTTTCCTCCTGTCATTTACGTCATCCAAAGATACACCCTTTTGCTCTTTCGTTCTCTCTTTCTCATCACGACGATACATAGTAATACATTTTTCAAAGGAAATAACAATACCGAAATTTGATCGAAAAGAATTGTACATAAATTTATGTCTAAACGTTCCGCTCTGAACAAAATTCCTGGCAATTAATGGTGGAAGATGGAGACACGATAGTCCCCTTTCGTTGGAGAGGAAGTACACGCGGATATACTTGATTACCGTTATACCTTCATAGGCCGTTTCGACGCGCCACGGAAGCCACGTGATACGTGATCTACTCGATTTACTTTCCACCGGCAGTTTGTATATCGTACGGACGAGGGTTTTTTCTCTTAGATTGAGAACCTTCTGAGAGGGTGCCGAGTACTTTTTCCTTTTCTATCTATCTGCGAAAAATAAATGACCTCGCGTGTTTTAAGAGATAGGTCCCTTTTTCCTTCGAAGAACGGTGTATCTTCTCCTATCTTCTTTCTCTCTCTCTCTCTCTCTCTCTAATACTTTTTTGCGTCTATCCTTCTTTCTTTCTTCTTCTTTTCTCTCCTTCCATCTTCTTTCGCGTGCCGTTAAATTTATGTTAGTCTTTTTGTTAAACTTTTTCTCTTTAATAAATACTGGAAGCTCTACTGGAAGTTGCGTGATGCAGGAGAACTTGGTTTTGGGTGAGAGAGAGAGAGAGAGAGAGAGAGAGAGAGAGAGAGAGAAAAGAGGGAGGTGGAAAAAGAAAAGGAAGGAAGTAGCGACAAGTGCGTATCCATTAATAGTGCGTGTCCTCTCGTGACACACGATAAATGCAAATTTGGGAAGGAAGCGAGCATGAAAGCGACGGTACCACGTGGCGCCGAACGGAAGAAAGGGCCCGCAGAACATACGCTATCCTTGCTGAAGGGACACGCGACGTCGATGTGTCACCTCACCGACGCGTCACTACCTTTGAAATTCAAACTCGTTCATTTTTCTTAGAACAGACTTTAATGTACGATACACGTGGGTGTGCCTGTGTAAGGACGAACACGTGTATAAATACACGTGTAGAATATTATTGGAATATTTGGAGCAATCGTCGCGATCCATGACATTTATCGTTCTTACCTACGCACACCAAAGCCGGTATAGAGTTTGCACGTATCTGCGGTGGTGAAATGGAAACAGGACCGTAGGTGTCTGGTTACCAAGTCGACGACATAACCTCATTAATCTCCCTTTCCAACTCCCGTCTCACCTCGAGGAACCTCCCCTTTTTCCCTCTGCTTACCGTTTATACGAGCTCGAGAGTCTCGACACGTTCTTCTCTTCCTCCTCTCTCTCTCTCTCTCTCTCTCTCTCTCTCTCTCTCTCTCTCTCTCTCTGGTTGAACTAAAAGCAACTGAAACTCGCTCGCTTCGACGTGGCACGAGCCAAGACGTGGTAGAAATAGTTCACCATCCGTAAAACGATTTAAGTGTTATTCCGAATGTCCCTTCTTTTTTCACTTCTTCTTCTTCTTCTTCTTCTTCTTCTTCTTCTTCTTCCATCCTCTTCCGTGGTCGAGACTACTCCTTTTCATTGTAATTCCATCTCATCTCCGCTAGAAGCTCGTCGATGCGAGAAACGCGCTTCTTTACGATCCGTTTCTCTTCTCTTTTTAGTTTTACTCTGTCTCCGGCTAAGTTATGGTACGCTATGGGAAGTTTGTATTTTCAGAGCAAAGAGCTCGTCGAAAAGGATCGCCTCGAATTCGTTACTTCTTTATCGTTTGGCTGATTCTCGACGCGAAGCTACAACGTCGTTTCCGAGACGTTTTAATTATCGCTTCGCGAACGCAATTAATCATTATTTGGTCCATGTAACGGCAGCCTTCGGTATTGCAAAACCTTACGGTGTCTTTCGTGAAAGCTGCACTACTAAGACCGTATTTGGTCGAACATTGTAAAGGCACTTGGTACTTACCGAGTGTCCGGCTACTTGGGTTAGTCCGGTAAAGCGGGTCAAGGTAATGAAACGTCGTCAACCGGCAGTCGTGAAAAAAGTCAACGACGAACGCGGCCAAGATAATAGTCGCGATGCGAAAGCGTAAATACGCGACAGATGGGACACCGTAGGCGCAACGTTGTTCTGAAATAACAACGCTCGTCGTGTGTATTGTACAAGCGAGAGAGCATTTGCGTAATACGCCGGGTGGTAAGCAGAGCTTTACCCCGGCACCGAGTAAATCCGACTCGAAGGCGGCTCAAAGGTAGCTGGACGAAGAAGAAATAAAAAGGAAAAAGAAAAAAGAGAGAAACGCTTTGAGTTTGTTGAGAACAACGACATGGCGCAATGTGGCGCAATCTTCTAATAGGATAACTACATATGCATGTAGGCGCATCGTTTGTTCGCACGCGTCGAAGAAATTCGATTCGATGGAAATAGAAGTAGATGGAGCGTTGAAATTCGTCGCTTGACAAATGAATGAAGGCAATGCGTATAGAGAGAGAGAGAGAGAGAGAGAGAGAGCGAGCAAAGAATTTTCTGCTAGGTCTCCGGTGTCGTACGTGCGCACGAGCTTGCTTGCGCTGCGAGTTCGCGCAAGAACGAGATAGAACATCGACGATGACCTATTCGATAAGGAATGAGCTGGAATAATAACGTCGTTGACCGTTGCACTTACGAACCCAGAGAATGCGAGTTGTATTCCTGTATGCGCGCTTCTCTACGAAGAATAGCAATCGTTTGTCGATCATTTACGTTTGCGTCCATCGAATATACCTATTACTCTTGTTTCTCGTTCGCTTTAATCACTCAACATTTTCTTCCGAAGGAAAAGATTTCATCTATCGACCATTTTCAAAGAACTTTCGAGAAGAAGATCGCGCTGGCAACATCTCTTTCGAGAAGCGATAAAACTCTTCTAATCGGGACGAAAGATGAATTAGTTTTGGCAAAGAAAAAGGTGGAGGTAATCGCGAATGCATGTGCACGAACTTCCCGTTTCCGTCGACGCATGAATAAAAAGAAGAAGAAGGAGATGGTGGGGAAAGAGGAAAGAAGGGACAAAGTCAAGCGTCTCGGCTCGTATAGAAACGGAAGTCAAACAGCTTGGACAGCTTCGGGATCGTCCATTAAACGCGATTTCTTCGCGATTCATACGCGGCACTTCCGGTTTCCGGCTCGTTAGACAATTCAGGATCGTGCATCGTTCGTTATCCTCGACGTGTCTTCTCCCTTCACCCTTCTCTCATCCTACTTCTTTAAACCTCGCTAATGTTTCGGGATGATTCGACTTGTTGCTTAAAATTTATAGCGTGGCATTGATCGCGCGCTTCTCCTACTATCTCTGATCCTGGTGGATATATCTACCAAAGTGATGTCGGTTACGTTCATTTACTTTCGTTGATCATTTTCATATGGATCCGGTATACGGAATCATTTTGATGATGGATTGACCAAAGTAAATCGTACTTTACATAATCTTTTTAAATAAGCGGTTACTTATTTCCTACAAAGAAAAGTACAATGAATATTCTTATATTTTTTCCATCGCGTCCAACGTTTTTAATATTTCTTCGAATTTCCTTGTCGTTCGTAGAAACTAAAGGAAAGAACGATCGGAAGAAAATTTCAATCCTCCGCTAGATTTTCCCTCGGAGTCATAATTGAAAGCGATCGGTGTGTTATCTCGTCGGATATCCTGTTCCACTCTTATTCTTATAAATGGGAGCTTTTGGCTCGAGTCCGGGCCGCTCGAGTAAGGGACTACTCTTCACGGTCGACCGCAATCTTTGAGAATAAAACTCTCGAGCGATCACCGATCGAGGAGAATATCTCTGTCTCGAATCAGGATTTCTTCGGAATCCTTGGGTCCTTATCGCCATTCATCTCCACCCTTCTTCGGTCTCTCTCTCTCTCTCTCTCTCTCTCTCTCTCTTCTTTCGTCTGGACCTTTTGAAAAGCAGGATACTCGTCGTATCGCGGTCCATCTCCATTCACCGACACGACTCGACCCACAATTTTCGTTCTTTCCGTCGTTCGTTCACGGATCGTTGTTCGACGAGGCAGAAGTTCGTGCGACGAAAACCCATCCTCTCTGTCGGCTCTTTGATTTTTCTTGTATTCTTCTCGGGGCATTTTGTTGGAATATAGATATGCATTAATATAGGGAAAAGACGATTTCTCCCAATCGGAGGTATTTCTCCGAGAGAGAGAGAGAGAGAGAGAGAGAGAGAGAGAGAGAGAGAGCAGGTATATCCTAAACGTTTTTCAGCTATCGCGAGTATTCTTCGAGATGACTTTTTCCAACTTTATCGCGTTTCTGTAAAATTGTGTTGTTCGTGTTGAAAATAATGACGGCCTCTATCTAACTTACCGTCAACGAATGACCTCCGCAGTTTTACCTCGGATAATCGGTACTATCGACGTTCGTTTCGTCGATAAGCTCGCTAGAGAGAAGGAGAGAAATCCATTGATTTCCAACGAAATAATGGGCCATTCACGGTGATACAGCATCGGTGACCCCCTTCCCCCACTCGTATCGCAACCATACGATTTCGATCTGAGTCGAATCCTTAGCTAGTTCGAGAGTCATTCTTCGTGTCCTCGAGGGAACTCTTTTTTCCTTCTCTCATTTCTTCTTGGCTACGTTAGATTCTCGGAATTTGGAATGGCGAATTTTACGATATAAAACATTCAAAGAAACCGCAAGATCCGTGACGGTAATCCTGCAAAAACGAACGTATTCCTTCTTAAGATTAATTTCGTCAATACGATTATTCGGGCTCTCTATGGATTTTTCGAAAAGTCTCCAAAATGGCTCCTCCGGAGAAAAAGATGGCACTGTTCTTCGGATAAATTATAAGATTTCCTGAACCGTTCGAGTAAACGATTAGAACGAAGGATAAATTATAGTTTACTAGTGTTCGAATAATCGTCACTTTATATCGTATAGTTAAAGAACGATAATGCAGTATGGTAAAAATCATAAATACGAGAAAGAGAGGAAAATCCGAAATACATATATATATATATATATATATATATATATATATATATATCCTAGCAAATGGTCGACTATGCCGGTGGGCATGTTTTCGCGTTTAATAGTGCCGCCTTCGTCGGGCTCTTTGAAATCAGGTTCAAATCCGTTAAAAAGGTAGGCCCCTGTAAGGACCTGTTCGCGGAACGAGCCTCCTTCCATCTCTGTCTGTCTGCTCGCGCGTGCTCTCTCTCTCTCTTTCTTTCTCTCTCTCTCTCTCTCTCTCTCTCTCGCTCTCCCCCGATCTCATCCTTTTATCTTTCCTTCTCCAGATCCCTAATTGAAACATTGCCCGAACCCGGTGGGGTCCAGTGTGAACCAACCTGTTCCAGGAATCGAAGAGAGAAGAAAAAAGAATTCTAGCCTCGAACAGATCCTCCTCTCTCTCCCTCTCTCCGTCCTTTTTACCGGTCGGCCCTTTTTCTCTCTCCTTTGCGTGCTCGAGGAAAAGAGATTCGGCTATCGGTGGGCCCGAGTCGCGACGAAGAGAAAGAGAAGGAGTAGAATGGTGGTAAAAAAGAGCTGAAAGAAAGGAAAGAAATAACTTACGGTCAGGAATGCGTCGCACCACACACAGCGATATGCTTTAGGCCCTCGTAAAGCTTCATTCACAACGTTCGCGCTGTCCAAATTTGAGAATTTATATAGGAAATAAATGTAGGAAAAAAACGAGATCTCGTTATTTCGCGTAACGTTGCGCATCGCGCTCTCTCAACATAGATGCAGCTCTCTGCCTAGCGAGAGAAGGTGGGTGTCAATGTTAGAGCATCGACTACTATAAACTCGACGTGAGTCATCGAATCGAATATAGAGTCAGTCAGTTTTGCAACCGGCACTACGTAATGCTTCACGGAGTAGCAACAACATATTGATCACGTCGTAGCCACGAGCGTTAAGAAATTACTTTCACGCGATGCTTTTTTTTTTGCAACATTGTTCCCATATCGTTCTCAATGGCGGTGAAACGAAAAGTCGGAAAAAAGAAAATGAGGAAAACTTTACATTCTCTCCGTCTTTATCTCCTTTCTTTTCCTCTGCAACATTGTCTTCCGGAATTCTCTCGCTCAGTAATTGGCATCTCAAATCGGATTTGTTACGGGCGCGAGTCATTGCACCGAACGTGACCTGAATTTCCGCATAACGACGTCGCCGTGTTCGGAGGAGTATAACGCTCGTCGAACTCGCAAAAGAGAGGCTTTCGCTCGTTCGCATATTTTACGAAGAAAGATAGTCAGAGAGAGAAAGAGAGAGAGAGAGAGAGAGAGAGAGAGAGAGAATGAAAGGGAAGAAGATAGGGAGAGAGAATCGATACCGATGATCAGAGATGCGAGAGTGTGTAATAATACGGTGGTCGCATAGTTTCGCGAACTCGTCATTGCCGGGAGGTCCTATTAACGAAGCCGCGCTTAAAGTCTTAAATCCCGCGAAATAACAGGCGAATCATATTTCGCCGGCGGTTAGACGGAGAAAGAGGAAGAGGAACCCCAACGATTTTTGAATTATAAATTCGCGCGGAAAGAACCGGTATCGGTTTTCACGCTCTGATATCGAGAACGTATGCGTAGGGTCCGACAGGATAAAGAGAAAGATAGGAGGTATGGCGGACAGAAGTGGGCGCCAGGCCGACAAACAAGAACCGCAACGGCGGCCGCCTACATCCGTCTCGTGGTGCAGCATTCCTTACTGTTTTTCCACCATCGAGATGAATTCCACCCACACGCGAGCACTGCTCTCACACGCGCGCGCACACCTCTACGGCAACAAAAAGGGGAAGAGAAAGAGAGAGAGAGAGAGATCGCGAAATCTCGTTTACGAGCTGGCTCGCTTGATGAACTCCCTTATTTATTTTCGGATCGGGTTGCAGTGCGGCAATGTTGCTTTCTCTCTCTCTCTCTCTCTCCCTCTCTCTTTGTCGGTGACGATGGTGAACCGGGAGAGAGAGAGAGAGAGAGAGAGAGAGAGAGAGAGAGAGAGAGAGAGAGAGGGTAAAGCAACGGGAGACGGCCGGATCCGGGCAAGCGTTCGTTCGCCTCTCGGCTACTACTCGAGCCCAAGGAGACGAAACTTTGAAGGGTTTTTGAGGCGACATGAGTTTAGGAAGCGTCATCGTCGAGCAGGAGACTCTCGCGAATTCCTAGCGAGTTTAGAATTCGTTATCGAGGTACCTAGAAAGAGGTATATACTCGATGATACTCGAAAGATTTCTTTAGAGATAGAAATTTCATCGAGAGCGGAGAAGGAAATGATTTTTCTTTTCATAACTCTCACCGCGATTGAGAAAGTACGAAACGAGACGATCTGAGAACCTCTGTGGGCGACGATAGAAAGGAAAAAAGATCCCAGCATTGTTCGTACTTCCTTATTATGAGTGACCGGTAGTCGACGGGACGAGCCACGGACGCTTTTGTGCGTCACTTTAGGTCGCGCGATCGACGAGCTTGAATAGAAAGAGAGAGAGGGAGAGAGAAGGAGAGAGAGAGAGAGAGAGAGAGAGAGCGTATATGGACGTGGCACGACGCAACTCAAACGCGACAGCGGAGAACGCATAGTCGACACCCCGGAAAACGCCCCCGCACCCACTGCCTTTCTAAAGTCGGAAAAATCCTACGAGCGCCTTTTCCCACGCGGTCGCGATTCGCGTCGACGCCCACGCGGAAGTTGCTCTCGATTGAGATCGGTCAAGAGTATCGAATATCCGCTCGGCCGAGAGAACGAATACTCGACGTTTCTTCGATTATCGCATTAGAAACTCGAAATAGGAAAGTGACATTTCGGTTACACCCTCTTTCCGCGTTCGAACAAATTCTCCTTCTTCTTTATCGCTACGCTTAATTACCTCTACCTAGTCTAGGTATTCTTCCGACACACCCAACAGCGTAATTCCGTTGGCCTCATCCTAAATGTAAAATACAATCGCGTGTTAATACTGTCTCTCTTTCTCTCTCCCGCACGCGCGCGCGCGCGCGCGCGCACGCTTTATTGCGAGATACTCGGTGCGCTATGATTACCACCCGTCCGTAGAGATCGCATTAAGCGATATTCAAATCGGCGTGCACGCGTACGCTATATTCCCGCTATATTCGCTGCCTCGCGTCTCTGGGTTGTGAACAGAAATCGTGGGAGCATCCTGCGGGCATCTCTCTTTCGGTACTTTGAGTTTGGAATTTTTCACGGACTTTCCCACAAAATTCTTCTAGTTGGTGTCCTGGTCTCTCCCTCTCCCATTAGCGGCTCGTGACTCGCGACAATGCCGCTCCCGGAAATTGACGTTTCCATTGCGTAATAGCGGACTTCCGCTTCCCCGCGAGGAATGACTTCGTCCGGTTCGTCGCTTTCCTACGACGGCCTCTAAAAACTCGAATCGAGTTGGGAGATGGGACAAAGCCTTCCGATCGTACGTATATGACCGATGGAGAATCGTTAGTAGCAGAATTACGCGAGACCTTGTATAAACGGCGGTGCTATCGCGATCTCACGCGATCTCGCGCGATGGAATAGCGTCTACCGGAAGCTCTCGCGCTAAGCGGATCGTCGAATCGTTCGCACGAGTTTGCGTCAAACGCGGCTCCGCTCGGCATACATTCTATGAGTTGTATTCGTTATGAGAACGTCGCTTCTCTACTCTAGATTGAGAATCATATTGAAAATTACTTTTTGCTTGTCTTTTTTTGCGAGAGAAGATGACGCATCTCTCTCTCTCTCTCTCTCTCTCTCTCTCTCGTCGGAGAAGGGCGCGGCGTTCCGGGAGAATTTCCTTCGGACGAAGCGCGTCCCCTTTGGTCGCGGCGTGTGCGACGAATGTCGCGCGTGCGCGACTCGCCCTGTCAGCGCGTGTCCTCGCCGCACCGACCGAGCTATTTATCATGTCACGTCATTCCCATGGAACGACATGTCCTACCACGAAGCTCTACCATAAAACCGCATCGTCTCTGTCCTCGTCTTTCGGTGACCCTCGTAAATTTCGTAAGGAAGATGCAAAGACGCTTCGATTTCAAACTCCGAGATAAATTTTACCGATGAGCGTGTACCATGGGAATTTTAGCAATAATATTTGTCGAAATGTTTTCTCCTCCCTCACGGAGAAGGTTCGGCGTTGAGAGTATTAAAGATGAAATGGATCACGGGAGATGGAGAGAGAGCTTAGCTCGAAACAACGACTTGCTATAAAACTTTGTTCGCGCTAATAGTTTAAAATACTTCGGAGTCGTTGCTTTGTTAGGTCGTAAAGTGGATTTTTGTTTGAACGTTCTACGATATATAATGTAATAATCGTTGATACGATTGTACGAGGATTTTCCTCTTTCGTTCTTCCTTCGAGGTGTCGTAAAATGCGTACTAGCCGTTCCAAGGCCGGAACGAAGCCACCGACGACCTTCGGTATGAAACATCGTAATAATTCGTGGTAATTTAATGAAAGAAGAAAAAAAGGAAGTCGTGCGTCCGGTAAGAATAATCTCGCGGCGCTCGTTAAAACCTTTAAAACGCACTCGCGTGAGATAGATCGTATGCAGGTAGGTCGACGTATAAATTTATATAAACGTATAGATATATCGTAGCGGAAAAGAAGGAAGGTTGGGAATGTGCGTGCGCGTGTTTCTCTCTCTCTCTCTCTCTCTCTCTCTCTCTCTCTCTCTCTCTCTCTCTCTCTCTGCATGTGGGTAGCGAGCCGTGGCCCATTGATAGCCCGCAGACCATTCATGGATCCGCGGATCGTG